AGGACCCCGTGTCGAGGGGGGGGGGGGGGAGCCGGAGGCGTTGTGCCAGCGGAGAATCCCCCCCGACGCTGCTCGCGGTACAGGGCTCAGGACGCATGTGGGTTTGGGTCCTTTCCAGCCCTCCCCCGACACTGGACACACGTGCAGCACGAGCACACGCATGTCATGGGCCCTCGTGCGAGGCCTGTGGCCCCCTGGGAGGGTCTGGGCAGGGCAGGGACCCCGCTCATGGCCCTATATGGCCCCAGCCCCGGCGCGCCAGGTGCTGTACGTGCCCATCTGCAGTAGATCTGGCTTGAACCCAGATCCCTGGGGGCTGCTGCCCAGGCGCTTCCTCACACCCCCCAATCTGGCTATCCCCGCGTCCAGCTTCGCCAGCTGGTGTTGGGCCAGGGGCAGGGATCGGGGCGCTGGGTGCCCGGCTCCCCCCTGGTGCTGGGGGTCACGGCAGGGGGGTGTGGGAGACTGTGCCCCCCCCAGGTCACCAATGCAATGCCCCCCAGTATCTCCCTGCCCCCAAGGCTGGAGTGAAGCCCTTTCCCCTTGGCTCTGGGGGGGCTTATGCTTTCCTGTGACCCTAGGGGCACGCCGTCCCCCTGACCTCTGACCCCTGACCCCCGCTGCAGCCGGGGCCAGGCCGTTGCAGGGGGGCAGCGCCGGGGCAGGGGCTGGTATCAATGGAAACTGGAGTGAGTCCAGTTTACACCCATGGGGATCTGGCCTGCTAATGTAAACTGGAGTGACTTCAGGTTACACCCATTCAGGTCTAGCCCATTGATGTAAACCAGAGTGACTCCAGTTTACACCTGCTGGGTTCTGGCTCACTTATGTAAACCGGAGTGACTTCAGGTTACACCCATTGCGATCTGGCATGCTGATGTAAGCCAGAATGACTCCAGGTTATATCCATTAGGATCTGGCTCAGACGTAAACTGGAGTCACTCCAGTTTACACCCTCTGGGTGGCTTCTGGCCGACTGGTGTAAACCAAAGGGACTCCGAATTACACCCCCTGGGATCCAGCCTGTTGATGTCAACTGGAGTGACTTCAGGTTACACCTGTGGGGGATCCAACTCATTGATGGAAATTGGAGTGACTCCAGTTTACACCCACTGGGACCCAGCTCAGTGATGTAAACCGCAGTGAGTCCAGCTCCCCCTGCCAGCATGTGGCCCATGGGTGGAGACTAGAGACGGGCCCCCCCACCGCACAGCAAAGCCCCCAGCCGGGGGCGGCAGCAGCGCGTGGACTCCTGGGTCCTGACGCGGCCCCCGGGCGGGAGGGGGCCCGGGCCCGGCCCCGGCGCGGCGCCAAGGTGCCTATTAGCAGCTAATGGAGCCCTTTGTGGCGTCGCCTCCCGGACGGATTAATTGATGTTTCACCCAGACGCAGTAATGAGGCGATTACATTAATTACAGGAGCGCGGCGGGAGGCAGCTGCCGGGCCTAGGCCGTGGCGCCAGGGTGGGGGGGCTCCGGATTCACTCCGGATCGTGGGGCCCGTGCCCGTGCCCACCGGCTGGGAGCTGCTGTGGATGTGGAGCGAGTCCTGTTTACGCCTGCTGGGGTCTAGTCCATGGGTGTAAACCAGAGTGACTCCAGTTTACTCCACTTGGGATCTGTCTGGCTTGTGGATCTAAGCCAAGGTGACTCCAGTTTATACCTGCTAGGGTCTGGTCTTGCATGGAAACCAGAGAGACTCCAGTTTACGCCATCTGGGATCTGGCTTGTGGTTCTGTGCCAGGGTGATTCCAATTTATGCTTGGTCTGTGGGTGTAAACTGGAGTGACTCCAGGTTACACCACCCAGGATCTAGCCAGAGTGACTCCAGCTTACACCATTTGAGATCTGGCCCATGGATCTGAGCCAGGGTGACTCCAGTTTATACCTGCCAGAATCTGGCCCATGGATGTAAACTGGAGTGACTCTGTTTTACACCACCCCAGGATGTGCCCTTTTGATCTAAACCAGAGTCACTCCAGTTTAGGCCCACCAGGGTCTGGCCCATGAGTGTAAACAGGAGTGACTCCAGATTACCCCTAGCCTGTAGATGTAAACCAGAGTGACTCCAGTTGACACCACCCAGGATCTCATCCAGGACGACTCCGGTTTACACCTGCTGGGATCTGGCTCATGGATATAAACCGGAGTGACTCCAGTTGACACCCGCCGGGATCTGGCCCGTGGATTGCACCATCCCTTTTTTCCAGAGCTTTTCCCCGGAAAGTTGCCATGGTGATGACATCGCAGGGGAAGCCTAGGCCTGGTCGGCTTATCCCGGGATAAGGGGCCGTGTGTCTGCTCCTATCCCGGGGCAGCACCTGGGGCTCCCGCGGGGCTGGCTATGAGCCACCCGGCTCGTTAGCTGCAGCCTGGGCCTGTGCTAATGAAGCCTCGGTCCTTAACGAGGGACCCGCCAGGCCCGAGGCCGAGCTGGGGCAGCCGGTGCTGTGCTGGGGTGGGGGGTGCATGGGGAGAGCTCCCCCCCCCAGACTCTGCTCAGCCCCCGGAGGGGCCGTCCCCC